ATTGCGTTCCATGACTATTCATGCATCTGGTAAAGTTAACCTGTCACTGTATGCAATCAGAAAAGAAGCTATGTTATTTTGTTACATGAAATAACCATTTACAAGGTGAGTCCTGGGGAACTTTGAAGACTATCAGATTTACCAAGGCATAAGCTTCCTTGGATAGAATTCATTAGTCCATGAGAGCTTATGGCACAAGGAAGGAGTGAGATCTCAAAGAGTCCTGTAGTCCAGTGGTCCCCAACCTTGGGCCTCCAGATATTCTTGGACTTCAAATCCCAGAAATCCCGACCAGCAGAGGTGGTGGTAAAGGCTTCTGGGAGTTGTAGTCCAAGAACATCTGGCGGCCCAAGGTTGGGGACCACTGCTGTAGTCCATACAAAAAGGCCTGCTGAATCAGACTAAATGTCAGTTCTGTATTCCTACATCATACTTCATATGGTGACCAACCAGATGCCTCTGAAAAGCCCACAAGCAGGTAATAGAGACAATAGATTCCCTGACCTTGGTTGTCACATGCTCCCTAATAAAGGGTATACATGGCATGCTGCCTAACATTTATATAGAATTTACATCCAAGCAAACATTTGGTGCTGCACAAAACAATGATATCCTTCTGGTATTGAGTCAAATTTACTAACACGTCTTTCTGCAGTTCAGTAAAAAGTCAGTGAAATTCTGAACAGGAACACCAAAAAAAAAAAAAAAACCTTTTAAAGGAACCAAAGAGCAATATTCATTCACTATTACTTGGACATTAGAAGTACGCTTCCATTTTATTTTTGTTCTGATTATTTCACATATTTTTGATGATATAGAAAGGACTGTGTTTTTTAAACAAGAGTGTACTGTAAATCAAGCCCCTTCATAAATTGCTGCCTTGTTGTGGCGAAGGGGCTTGAGTAATTCAGAGAAGCTATGGGCTATGCCATGCAGGGACACCCAAGACAGACAGGTCATAGTGAAGAGTTCTAACTAAACATGATCCACCTGGAACAGGAACTGGCAAGCCACTCCAGTATCTTTGCCAAGAAAACTTCATTGACAGAAACAAAAGGCTAAAATATATGATGCTGGAAGATGAGCCCGTCAGGTCGGAAGGCGTCCAACATGCTACTGAGAAAGAGCAGAGGACAAGTAGCTCCAGAGCTAATGAAATGGTTGGGCCAAAGCCGAAAAGCACACTCAGCTGCGGACGTGCTTGGAAGTGAAAGGAAAGTCTGATGCTGCAAAGAAAAATACCACATAGGAACCTGGAAGGTAAGATCTATGAACCTTGGTAAGCCGGATGTGTTCAAACCGGAGATGGTAAGAATAAGGTAAGCTGGATGTGGTCAAACCGGAGATGGTAAGAATAAGCCTTAACATCCTGGGCGTCAGTGAACTAAAATGAATGGGAATGGGCGAATCCAATTCATACAATTATCATATCTACTATTGTGGGCAAGAATCCCATAGAAGAAATCCATTAGCCCTTATAGTCAACAAAAGAGTGGGAAAAACTGTACAGTGGCGCCCCGCTTAACGATTACCTCGTTAAATGATGAATCCACTTTATGATGGTTTTTTTTGCGATCGCTATTGCGATTGCAAAACGATGTTCCTATGGGCTTTTTTCGTTTAACGATGATTGGTTCCCTGCTTCGGGAACCGATTGTTCACAATGATTTTAAAACAGCTGATCGGCGGGTCGGAAACTGGCTCCCCACTGTTTTCAGCACTGATTGTTCACTTTACAGGCATTGGAAAATGGCCGCCCTATGCAGGATCTTCGCTGGACAATGAGGTATTTCACCCATTAGAATGCATTAACCAGTTTCTAATGTATTCTAATGGGTTTTTCGCTTGACGACATTTTGCTTAACAGCGATTTGAACGGAATGGATTATCATCATCAAGCGAGGCACCACTGTACTGCGATACAATCTCAAAAATAACAGAATGATTTCAATACGAATCCACGGCAAATCTTTCAACATCACAGTAATCCAAGTTTATGCACCAACCACCAATGCTGAAGAGGCTGAAATTGACCATTTCTATGAAGACTTGCAACACCTTCTAGAACTGACACCAAAGAAAGATGTTCTTGTCATTATAGGGGACTGGAATGCTAAATTAGGGAGTGAAGAGATAAAAGGAACAAGGGGTAATTTTGGCCTTGGAGTTCAAAATGAAATAGGGCAAAGGCTAATAGAGTTTTGCCAAGAGAACAAGCTGGTCATCACAAACACTCTTTTCCAACAACACAAGAGGTGACTTTACACATGGACATCACCAGATGGGCAATGCCAAAATCAGATTGATTATATTCTCTGCAGCCACAGATGGAGACGCTTTATACAGTCAGCAAAAACAAGACCTGATTGTGGCTCTGATCATCAGCTTCTCATAGCAAAATTCAAGCTTAAACTGAAGAAAGTAGGAAAAACAACTGGGTTAGTCAGGCATAATCTAAACCAAATCCCTTATGAATACACAGTGGAAGTGAAGAACAGATTTAAGGAACTAGATTTGGTGGACAGAGTGCTTGAAGACCTATGGATGGAGACTCGTAGCACTGTACAGGAGGCAGCAACAAAAACCATCCCAAGGAAAAAGAAATGCAAGAAAGCAAAGTGGCTGTCCAACAAGGCCTTACAAATAGCAGAAAAGAGAAGGGAGACAAAATGCAAGGGAGATAGGGAAAGTTACAGAAAATTGAATGCTGACTTTCGAACAATAGCACGGGGAGACAAGAGGGCTTTCTTAAATGAACAGTGCAAAGATATAGAGGAAAAGAATAGAAAGGGAAAAACCAGAGAGCTGTTCAGGAAAATTGGAGATATTAAAGGAACATGTTGTGCAAAGATGGTCATGATAAAGGACAAAAATGGTAGGGACCTCACAGACGCAGAAGACATCAAGAAGAGGTGGTAAAAATTCACAGAGAAATTATACCAGAAAGATCTGGATGTCCCGGACAACCCAGATAGTGTGGTTGCTGACCTTGAGCCAGACATCCTGGAGAGTGAATTCAAGTGGGCCTTAGAAAGCATGGCTAACAACAAGGCCAGTGGAGATGATGGCATTCCAGTGGAATTTTGCACAACTTTCCTGTTTAATGTATCTATAATGTACAAACCAAAGCTTCATGAATTTCTTGAAAATCACATCTCACATTTACACAAAATGGTAGTGTGTGCAAATTTAATTTTCATGTCAACGATAAGTGCTGTCTGATTCTTTCACAACAAAGACTGTACATTTCACTTCTACAGGGCCCCTTTGAAATCCAATTTTGTGGGACTTCATCCAAATGCAATCACACACATAAAGTTTTATTTTTCTTGCACCTGTGTAAATGATCATTCTTTACAGTCAGCAAATGAGTCTTAATGTCAGAAAGATATCAGGTTGAAGTAAAGCTTACAAGGTAAAGAGTACCAGAATCTACATCATCTACAATTTATTCATGTGATAGCACATTGCATAAATCTTTTCCGATAAATAATTTCTGCTTCTGATTATGAGCCTGACAACACACTATTTTTTGTTATATTTGCATACAAATTAAACTTTTTTGTACCATTTGCATACAAATTAAACATTATAGTCTTTAATTAATGTTTAGTATTTTCTAGATGTCTAAGCTTTTAATAACAACTCTGCTTTAGAATTGTTGTAGTCATATAAGGAAATTATATATGAACACATGAATTCGCTTACATTCTTCATTTTTCAGGAGTTAACTGTTAACAAAATTGCAACAAAATGTTCAAAAACCAAAGACCAGAGTACAAAGGTGTCTTTTCTATCTATCTAATCTATCTATCTAATCTATCTAATCTATCTATCTAATCTATCTAATCTATCTAATCTATCTAATCTAATCTATCTAATCTAATCTATCTATCTATCTATCTATCTTAACAACTCTGCTTTAGAATTGTTGTAGTCATATAAGGAAATTATATATGAACACATGAATTCACTTACATTCTTCATTTTTCAGGAGTTAATTGTTAACAAAATTGCAACAAAATGTTCAAAAACCAAAGACCAGAGTAGAAAGGTGTCTTTTCTATCTATCTAATCTATCTGTCTGTCTGTATCTATCTGTCTATCTGTATCTATCTGTGTATCTGATTCTTCATTTTTCAGGAGTTAACTGTTAACAAAATTGCAACAAAATGTTCAAAAACCAAAGACCAGAGTAGAAAGGTGTCTTTTCTATCTATCTAATCTATCTATCTAATCTATCTAATCTATCTATCTAATCTATCTAATCTATCTAATCTATCTAATCTAATCTATCTAATCTAATCTATCTATCTATCTATCTATCTATCTATCTATCTATCTATCTATCTATCTATCTATCTATCTATCTATCTCCTAAGTCTCAAACAGAAATGTTGTCGTTTTTGGGTGCCAACATATATGTTGCCATAAGATTACCATAACATGCGGTTTCACTTAATTTTGGAAGCTAAAAAGGGCCAGGTCAAATTAGTTCCTGATCAAGAGATTGTCAGAGAATAGTAAGAATCTCCAGATAGGGCTAAGTAAGAATACTATCTGAAGCGCTGGAGGTGTACTGCCAGTGAGCATTGACCACACCCCCTGAAATGGATCAATGATGGTTTGACTCATCATCATCATTACCTTAGAACTGCAGAGCTGGAAGGGACCCAAAGGATCATTGGGTCCACCCCCTGCAAGGAGGCACAGTGAGGAATTTAACTCCCAACTTTTGGCACCACAGCCAGGTAACTAAATCACTACGCTTGTTGGGGAATTCTTAGAGTAGCCTCCAAAGTAACTTTTCCATTACAAATCCACATATTGTCACAGAAATGGGAAAAAGATATTCACTATGTTAACGGAGGAGTATTAAGCCATATAACTATAGTAAACTGTAATTTTCCAGGCAGGTGTAAATACTGTGACCACGCTGTCATTGCACTGGGAAGTGAGATAGGATGAATGAAATGAACTGTCTTCATCTCTCAACTTACATAAAAGAGAGGAAGGAGTGGAATGGGAAGACCCAAATTCATGCAAGTGGTTCTGTGAATTTGTAACTTTCTTGGACTTTGCCGCCGAATGGATGGAAAGAAACACAACATATGAGCAAACAAAGATGAGGAGGTAGAATATGATCAGAATCCTCAGGAGACACTGACAGCAGGAGCGGCCGCTGGGACACAACAAAGATGGCGACTGGGAAGATGAAGCAATGGGAGAAGAGTAATGATGAGGAGAACATGATACCTCCATATCCCTCTCCTTTCTGAGAGCTGCATATGGGGCATGGAAATGCAAGGAAAAAGGGGGGGGGGGAAGAAGCCAAAACAAAAAGAAAACAAAAATGATAATTTAATCACATACAACAAATGAACATCTCTGAGCTTAGCAACACCAGTAAGGATTCTTTATGATCCTCAAAGATGAGGAGGATTCACCACAGTGTATCTTCTGTTCAGATGCCAGCGCAGAAAGAGGTATCTTTGAACCCCTATTGTGGCAAGCAGCACTCTTCACACAGATAAATTAAGAATTAGTTCCTGCATATCTTAAATCAGTTTGTTTTTAACTTTTTGGTTCACTAATAATTAATGGAGATATTCTAAACACAGAATATAGCTTGTACAGTATTCACAAGACATCTGCTATGCTGATTCATACATCCTCATAGTAGTCCTGCATAATTCAACAAGAATAAATCAGATAATGTGGTCTGTGGATCACAACGTTTAGTTGTTCTTTTAAGCTTTGTTTTCAAGATTTATTTATTTATTTATTCTTTATTTTATTAAAAAAATTGTCCTGCCTTTCTCCTTGAAAAGGACCCAAGGCGGCTTACATAATTAAAAAGACAACATTTAAAAGCAAAAAAGTAAGCATATTAAAAAAATAATCAAACAAGTATTATATTAAAAACAGTAAATAAAATCAGTATGAAAACACATTTAAAACAACAGAGCGCAACAATCCATTAAAAACCCCCCTCTTAGAACATGCAGATGTTTCATAGCTTTGGAACTGCCACAAGTGTTAAACTTGTTATCTTGCACCAAGTTACCCAAGTGCAGAATTTTTCTTCTCAAGGAAGCGGGCCTTAGCAGGGACTCTTTGGGACCCTCACCAGTTGTGAGCTGTACAAAAGATAACTAAGATAGGTTGTACACAGCTAAGTGTTGCAATCTGGTAGCTTCAGTAGATGCCAGAGAGATTCCGATTCATTTTGCGCAGTGACTGCCACATGTTCTCTGGCAAAATCAAGAACTGCTCTGTGTGTAAAATGAGAAATCTTTTCTATTTGTGACACGATTTCTCAATTGACCACCTGTGTGGGCACCATCTGTCACATGCTCCCCATGGAATTAAGTGCTGTGGTCAGAGTAAGGATGTAAGACACAACTGTATTAAGAACAAATATAGTTATGGTACAGCAAGATACAGGATTCTAAAACAAGCACCACACACTACATCGGAACATTTGTTCTTTGTTCTTCCTTGGAAAACACGCTGCTAGTTTGGCCTAAGAAAGATGACTGAAGAAAGTCATAATGTTTTTGTTTACCTGAATGTCATCTTTATATAGGAAATATTCACAAACTAAAAATCTAATTTTCAATAAGTTTCTGATTTGCACACAATATATGACACTATCAAATTCCTATTACTATCGAATAAGTGCTCTACTAAAGATACAAGCACCATTAATCTAAAAGCCAGCCGATTACAAAAGAAAACATGTGTGCTTATAATAGTCACTGAAACTTGTTTTTT